GTATACATTTGTTGAGGCACCCAAACAAACTGAGTCCTTCTTTAGAACCTCCTTTGCTGTGCACGTCTGGGTGCTGCTCTTTTTTGAAAATGTAAAGCGCAGAAAACGATTGCTCGTTAATCAAGAGAGTCCTATCCCACTGCAATGTCGAGATGTCTTTGATGGAGTAATTTCTCCGGAGTTCATCTGGTTGTGCTGCAATGTAGTTTCTGAAATACGCCAGAACCCCACCAACGGCCTTTGTCAACTCATTGTTTTCCTCGAACGAAATGTACGACGCAAGAGAAATAAAAAGCGACCTCTCGTCTTGTTGATTCTTCACGAATCCGAGTGGAATTGCCTTAAAGTTTTGGACACACGAATCCACTGAAAAATCAGCAGAAGGCAAAATTTCCAACTCAATGTCTTTCGATTTAAGGTGAGCAAGGACATTTGGTGGTATTTTCGAGTGCGTTATTACCACAGAAGCGGAAGATTGAAATAGGTAGCAGTCCAAGGTCGAGCACTCAGCTGGGTCTAAGAACATAGAAGATAATTCCAATTTTCCTTCGTCGATGTCAAGTGTCGCGATTCCGAGTCTGTTGTTCGTTGTACTAAGCGAGAGCACTCTGAAGGTGGACGGTGGTTCAGGCTGTTCAAATTCGTTGGGTTTGTTCGGTAGACGTAACTGGGCCGAGATAAGAGGTTTTTTATCTGTTACTTCCACCTCGTCGTTTTGCGACGAATCAATGCTGGGGTCTTGTGAAAATCTGAGCTGCGACTTTGAGACGTCTTTGCATAATAAGGCTGGTGACAACTGTGCTGGGACTGGTCGTGGTTTTGAGTTGAGTAACAACTTTGAAAGGAGTGGTGTCTTTTCCAACGCAGAGGCAGGCGTGGGCATTCCACTGGAAATGAGTGGGCTGGTGAATTGCCCTTTTGTGAAGTCAGTTGTGAACGTTTGTTTTGGTGTGGGGGCATTTGATGAGTCAAATATGTCAGAAGTCCCAAGTTTTTGTTTTCTTAACGTCGGCGACGTAAATGGCGAATTAACTGTTAAGACATTAAAGCTTTTTGCGTTTTGTGGGGTTGTGTTGCTAAGAAGGAACCCATCTATATCCTGAGACAGGTTAAAATCACTCATTTTAATTATTGTGGTACTTGGTCCCCCAAATTATCTTTCGTTCCATCAATTCAATCTTTATTCTCAAGTTTCTATTTTTATATTTCTTTATTAAATAATAAATAATAGGAAATAAAAATTAAATCTCATTTTCTAAGAAAAAATTTCATATAATTTACATCATATTTTTAATTAATGAATAAAATACAATAATAAGAAGTTGCGTTAATAGATTAAAATGTATTATATTTTAATACATAAATGAAAGTTATTATATTATAATTAATATTATAACTCCAATTTGTAATAAACAAATTTTATAATTAATAAAACCAAACTAAATAAAACAAACAATATGAGTGGATATCGAGGACCTCCAAACTATCCCCCTCCTCAACCACGTAGTCCACAAGACTTTCAACGACCGGAATACCCCCCTCGTCTTCCACAGGAGTATCGCCAACAACAGCCAGATTACAACCAGCAGCGCAATCAACAGTACCAAATCCCACCCGTCCCACAGTACGGGCAAGACCAACGACAGCAATACCAACAACCACCATATCCCCCGTACCAACAACAAGACAGAGTGCACTTACAACGTCTTCCCCCACAACAACAGCAAGCACAGAGAGATCAACAAATGTATCAACGAGAGCAGATGCAATACCAACAACAATACCAAAGAAGTGCCTCTCCGCAATACCAGCGAGAGCAGCAGTATACAAGAGAACAAGACGGCCCACAACAGCCCAAAGAGGATTTTAGAGTGAAACTTGCTGATAACAAAGAAACAGTCGAACGTTTGTCATTTTCATATTTCAAGTGAATGTTTGAATGAGACTCACAGATAGTCAAGACGAATGTGCTTGTCATCACAAATTTCCAAGAGAAACAAATGAGGGATTTTATGGGAACGAGAACGGCGTTTGAGGCATATCTCCCTGTTTATAAAATCGAAATCGTTTCTGTAGCGGACAGAAAGGCAGCAGAAGGGTTAATGTCACGTTTCAAGACATCACCAGAGAATAAGGAGAACAAAGAAGTCCACTGGGGGATGGAATATTGGATGAAACATGCTGTTTTCGATTCAGATAAAGGAGTCTGTAGAATATCAGTGAGACACATCCCGCCCACAGTCGTCGTCAATCAGGATGGCACATACGAGTATATCATGGGGAACAGGAAGGGTGATAGGAGAAACGAATACTACATAAAGCGGTGATTGATCTTTTGTTATTACCAACATATAGTTAATGTATTATTACTTTATAATAACGATGGGATAATAAATAATTTAGTCGTTTACTAACCTATTAATTTTCTATTAATAGATAGATAAATAATTAAAATGGATAGAACTAAAAGAATAAGTTAAGTAAACTATTCAATTGAACTATACGAAATCTAAAAAATTGGGTAGAAGAAAGGAGATGCTGGAAGAGAAGACGAATGGGTTTTTGATTGATGAAGCCGGGAATATATTCAAGGCTTTGCTTGTAGCCATGTGGGTTGTCTCTATCATCGTTGGGCTTGTGTTTTCAGGAATGGAGGCGACGGAAGTTGGCACTATTAAAACATCCATTGAAGCAGACATTAAAGACAACAAAGCCTCAATTTCAGGAGTTTCAGTTGGGTATGGGGATATGCAAAACACTCACATGTTTAACCAAGACGACACAAAAAAAATTGAAAAAATCTTCCAAAAATTGGAGAAAGACTCCACACACGCCAACAAGACGGAAAGTGAATTCATCTCGGATGAACCAAGTGATTCAACAGAACAAAGCTCTGATATACCATCAAACGTTTTTGCGTTCACAGACCCCGAGTTCAATATTACACATTGGAACCAATTTCAGGCGACGTCATGTAAGGCGTTTGTGAAAGTTAACATGACGCGAAACACTCTCGAGCAAGTAACCATCAATGGAATAGGTAAAATCCTCTTTTTGGATACGATGGAAGTGGTCTCAGAGAACCTCAGCTTCACTACAAAATGCTCTTTCATGGCGGGGGAGTGTTACAATTTTGATATCATCTTTTTGCGAAATGTTGGGAATAGTTCGTATGCGTTCATCTTTATCTTTGATGCACAGGGGTATTCGAAAATAGTGATGGAGTCTATGAGAGGTAAAGAGCGATACACAGCCTTTAAACTGACGTACAAAGTTATGTTTGAAGTGTTCTCTATAGTGTACTGTATTGGATATTTCATTTGTTATTTCATTCAAACAAAGCGGAAGAGTATCGGCGATTGTTTGCCCATGAACATCAGTATTTTAGTCTTTTTAGGGTTACTGATCTTTTTCAACAATCCATTTGAAGTGTTACGCTATTGGTTTAACGCAGATTGGATCTCTGGGGCAGATCTCTGGTTTTCGATGTTTTCAAATGCGTTTTTAGTTGTGTTTATTGCACTTCATATTGAACTGACGTTATATAAGGCGTTGGACGTGAAACCAAACATTTTTATGTGGACTGTTAGGAGTGTCATGGTAGTAATGTTTGTTATATCTTTTATTGTCTATTTCTTCATGTACTTCCTTGCATCAAACAAATCCCCATTTGCTACTATCACAGAGGAAATGACTATTGGTATAACGTTCGACGCACTTTCTAAGTTCATCCAGTTCATTCTCTTCGGGTGGAATTTGATGCACATCCTTTTCGCCTACCCAGAAGTCCGTTCCCCACTCTACAAAACTCGATTCTTCTGGTTTACTCTCTTCACTTCTATTTTGCTCATCATGCACCTCCTCTTCCTCATTTTCTTCCTCGACACTAATCAATACTCCTGTTTGTTTATTACAATTCAATGAGAACAACTCACGTGTAGCTCTCTCACACATGAACATCTGCCTCATTTCAAACCTTTACGCGTTCACCATATCACTGTTGTACTTCCCCAAGAGGCGGACAAACGCTGATGAATATGGAAATTACATCTACTTCTCCAATTGAAGTGGTATGAAACATGCTATTAAAATGTTATTGAAAATATTTATTGAAATGTTATTGATCTTTTTTTTGAAATTGTAGAATTGAAAAAGCAGAAAAAGGAGATGGACAAGCGTCGTCTGTACGTTGGTGGGTTGTGTGAGTGTGTTGATGACCAACTTCTTTTCGAGGCGTTTCTCCCTTTTGGTGATGTTGTTAGTGTTGATATTCCGAAAAACGACGGAGTAAATAAGGGATTTGGGTTTGTCCTTTTTGATGACGAAGACGATGCAAAGGAGGCGCTCGACAACATGGACAAATCGGAGTGGTTTGGAAAGACGCTGGTTGTCTCTTACGCTCGCAGCAACGAGTCATAATTTATAGATAATTCAGAGGTTTGAGTATGATGTGATAGAATTCCAAAAATAAGTGATTCAATATAATGAATTAGAAAACAAAGTCGAACACAGAATCAATCTATCCCACGGTGTTTCTTGGTACAAGTTCTTCTGGAGTCACAACAACATTTCCAGTCTTTTGTTTGATTAAAGGAAGAGTCGACGCCGTCTTGAGAACGGAAACGTCGTTTCTCATTGTGATTTGTCCGACAGAGGTTGTTTTGACTATATCTTGGAGCATGCTCTTAATGTTCTCGTTGATAATTGCAACGTCTTTTTGGAAGTCAGAGGACTGATTCATAAACTTCTTTGTTTCAGAAGTCGACTTTCCGTTCTCCTTCGCCTTAATTACAATTCCACCTCTCTTCCTCTCGAAGACTTCTAACGTCACTGTGCCAACCTTCTTCTCTTCTGGTGTGAAAAAGTCGATTGGATGAAAAATCATTTGGTAGAGTCCTGAGAAGAATCCCCGTTTTGGCTCGAAGGCCTCGAACGAAGGTGCGGGACCTTCATCGTAAAATCTCTTACGCAAATTGACTCCGCTTCCTTGTGTGATGCTTGCTTGTGACTGCATGTTTTTTGTTATTAATTTAATCAGTTTCTCCTTGCTTATCTGTTCTTTTGTTCTTCCTTTCAATCTCGGCATTCACTCATTTTTGGTATGATTTGATGCCAACATGCCATTGGAATGGTAAAAATTGACAACTATACACATTCAATATCCCCAAACCCTTTTTCTCTTTTTTTTTATCTTTTTAGGAAAAAAATGACTCTTTATAATGTACTAGTATTTATAATACATTTTTTGTTTTGGTATAGTAAAAAGGCCATTAAAAAGAACTTATCGGATGCGACTTTCTTATTCCAATTTTTTTCCTCAAAATTCCTCACTTTTCATTTTTCTCTTTTTATTTTTTATGATTTTTTTATGAATTTTTAATCAATAAAATAAAAATGTTATTCAATATCATTTTTTAGAAATGTTATTAAAATGTTTTACAGTGCGAAATGGGATTCAAAATGTTATTCAACTTTTGTCAGAAAAACGAAGAAAGAATACAAAAATGAAGCTCACCAAGCAACCAGACCGACAGAGTTTCTACAACTTCTCTGCGCCTGTAGATATTCACAACCCGGCGTTCCAAAGTAAAATTCACACGACGAGGGACTATATCTCAAATCTCTTTAAAACGCAAAAAACGATCTCCCAGACGTTGAACAAAGCAGTAACTACTGGTGTGCAATATCTTGGTGCTTTACAGGAAGTGTTTGATACGTTCTTGTCATTCAGTGACATCACCGAATCGCCACAAACATTTTCGAAGATCTTCGAACCACAGAAACAAAACATCGAAATACAACGAAGGTTTCTGTGCAATGTCATAGATTGGAAGATCCAAATGGACATAGACATTTCAAAGCAACTTTCTCAGTTTGAAACGCTCGACAAAAACTATATGAAAGCAGCAAAGACATTCGATACCGATTTCTCAAAACTTGTGAAGTCAAAAGCGTCGCAGAACGAGAAAGCAAAAATCTCCGAAAACGACATTCAACGCGAGACTGCCAAATTTTGTGACGAGATGAATGTTGTTCGATGGAATGTAGGACAAGTGATTCAATCCAATGGCATTCAATTCTGTCGCTCGTTTGAAAAGTGTTATTCGCAGTGTGCACAGACTATCGTCCCCATCTCATTTTCACAAGAAATGGTATTCAAAAAGCCATCAGAGAAACTTCAACTGTTTACTCCACCACCCAACTGTGGACTTGTCTTCGCTAAAGGTAATTTGTGTCCAAATGGGAGAAACTACTTCTTTATGAAAGGAAAGACACTCATGGCGGTCAATAAAAAGGTTGGAGAGTTCGTGGTGACAGATGTACTCACTTCACTCGCAAAGCCACAACTCGACAACCACACATTCGAGTTAATAACTCCAGCGTCTTCTTCACTCATCTCGACAGTCTCATTTGATGAGATGATGAAGTGGATAACACTCATGGACGCAATCAAAAATGACGCAGAGCATTACCAAGAGATCCAAATCAGCCCATTGACGGGGGTTAATCCGCTCGAAGTGACGAAGATGTTGTGGGCAATATCAGGGAACGAGAAGTGTGCGGAGTGTGGGAAGGCAGACCCCGAGTGGGTTTCTCTTACATTAGGGGTCTTGATATGTTTAGAATGTTGTGGAGCACATCGAAGTCTCGGCGTCAGAGTGTCACGTGTGAAGTCGTTGATGATGGATAGACTTGAAGGAGACTCGATTGATGTAGTTAAGAATCTTGGGAACACGTATATTAACTCGATATATCAATTGCAGAAGCCTGGCGTCTTAGTATCGCAGAATGCGAGTGGTTCCGAGAGGTACACGGCTATCAGAGAGAAGTACATTGAAAGGAAGTTCATGAGAAAGAGTTGTAATGTGAATGTTATAAACGAACTTACAAACAAGAACCTGAGAGGTATCATGACAGCAATTTGTGTGTGTGGGGTCGACAAAGTACCGAGTGGATTTTTGGTGTTGGCTGCGAAACAAGAGGATGTCAGTGTAATGACTTTGTTACTCTTACATGGCGTTTCTGTGGATCAACAAGATGGAGATCTGAACACTGCATTACACATTGCTATTATAAAAAAGAATGAACGAATGACTTCTCTTCTAATGAAGTACTCACCAAATTTGAATATTAAAAACAAAGAGGAGAAGACAGCAGTGGACCTTGCAAATGACGAAGGCTTTGAGCTTGGTGTAAAAATGCTTGGACATTTTAGTCGTTCCGAATTGTCGCCGATGATCGAAGACATCGATGAGAAGTATTTATCGACGATAGTTTCGCGAAGCAAATGAATTTCAATTATCTCTTGTGTTGTCAACGGAATAATAAAATCATAACTGCTGCAATAAATATAGTGAAAAGCTAGAGGTGGATGACGCTTCTTCTCTTCAAAAGGTTCTCCATAGTTGTATGGCAGCTTGAAAACACCCCTTTAAGTTTGTCATACCACTTGTCCGAGTCTTCAAATTCGATTCTGATCGTCGTATTGTTATCTCCAATGTGAATTTGCTTACCTACCATAAACAACTTCGCTTTCTCGATGAGGAAATGCTGCTTATATGTGATAACCTCCCCACCAAATATATTTTTAGAGTGCTCTAAAAAGAGGATCATGTCGGTGAAAAGAATCACCTCGACTTGTGAACTCCTTTCAAACCCTTCCACAGTCAAATTCTTATTCAGAGTTTCCCCTTTTTCTAATATGGCGTTGAACTCTTCTGAATGCATCGTTTTCACTACTCGCCCATTATCTGTCAAGTTCACCATTTTTTCAGTAAGAGTAGCGGTAGTGCTGTCGACCATCTCTCGACCCGGTTGCAATAGAAGAAGTGTTGGTGGAAGGTACCGAACATTTGTTTGTAATTGGACGACCTTCTCGTTGTTTTCTTGTTTCTTCGATTGTGTGTTAACGAACAGTGTCACCTTCTCGATTTCTTCGAGAGACTTTTTTACGTCTGGGAAGTCCAAGTCCTTATCAGAGAGATGCTTCAAGAGGTCTTTGAGTAAGAGTCTGTATCGTGGGAGTCTTTGTATTGGGGTAATCAAAAGAGACCCCAAGTCGAATCGTTGAAGGTGTTGTGGTGCGCTTTTCATTTGAGTTTTAAAGAAGATAGAAAACGGGTGGGGAGCTTTTAGTGTCACCGTCAAGTCCGATATTTGAGGAAATATTTGGCAATATTGGCTGTATAACTTAAGGTATGGTGTGAAGGTCAATATTGTTTTTCCAAATCGAGAATTTTGTGTATACACAGAGAGCTTCTCTTGTAAGTTATTAAATAAAGCTTTGTTAACGCCGTAGATAACAGTAATAGAACTAAATAAGAGTCGTATTTGGTCGTAAGTTAATATAGGTTGTTGGAGTTGTAGAAGTGGTTGGCGAATGATGTTTTCAATAACACTCAATTGTTCACAGTAAGTCCTATTTGTGAGCAATGATTTCCAATGGATGTTATTTATAATAATAAATATTATTAACAATACAAAACCAGCAAACTGTTCTGTTGTTATGAATTCCTTCACGACATTGCCACAATATAAATACTTCTTTTTATCGACTTTATTTTTCAATGCTCTTGCGCACCTTAATAGTATGGAGGCTGCGGTGTTTTTCTGAAACGAGTATAACACATAAGCAACTGCTTTCTCGTAATTTCCAATTTTCATCGGTTTGTTGTATTTCGCAATAAACTGTACCGGAGGTTGCAACAAGTCAGTCACATCAAATGGGCATT